TAGCATTGAGAATGGCAAGGGTGCTTATCTGAACCTCCCATGGAGCGCGCTCGGCAAGAATGAATCCGCTAAAGATGAAGCTGTGACGGGGCCATTGGCCACTTTGCACCTTGAAACTCACCTCTGCAGCACAGAGTACTCCCAGGATCAAGTCATTCTCAGTCTTCTCAACTGGCGAGAGCGGCCCGTGGACGAGGTCTTAGATACGCTGAAGCGTTTGCTCTTTGTTCCTGAGATCGAGATTGTCAAACAACTCAGCGGCGTCTTTGATGCACTGTTCGGGATCCTAGTCGAGAATGCTGGTAATGAAGAATATGAGAACTTGATTTTCAACGACCTGGTCACTGTTCTGGGTATTGTTCATGATCGACGATACAACCTAGGCCCGCTGGTCGACCGCTACGCCGATGAGCAGTTCAACTTCCCGTTCGTCACCCCATGTCTCATTCGAAGCTATCTGCGCCTCTTGAACGCAGCGACCGATGGTACGCAATCTCGCAATCTTCGCGCCGCCTTCAAGGTAGGACGCCATCTATTGAAGTTCATCATCAAGGCCCGCGAGCAGCAAAAGGCCAAGGAGGAAGGTATTGGCATCACCACGGTGCAATCCACCTTCAACAGAGATATGCATACCATTTTCAAGTCTCTGGAGACTTTGATGAAAAACTCCTCGCCGGCTTTGGTAGGTAGCAAAACACTGGTCGTTCAACATTTCCATACGTGGCTCCCTGAGCTCTCCCATGTTCTGAGCAAGGATGAAATGATTATGATCGCTCTAAGTTTCATGGATTCATGCAAGGATGTCACTGGCATGTTGATACTCTATAAGCTGGTTCTCATTCAGAACTATACCCTATTTGAGGTTTTCGCCTCTGGCGACGAGAGACGAACCTTGATCTCCAGCTGCGTTGGCTGGTTGGCTCCATACTGGGGCGCCACCTCGGGCGTCTCGGATTTGTATCGTGATCAGGTGCGGCTGAGCAGCTCAATTGTAGCTCAACTGCTCAGCCAGTCGGATCCTCTGCTTTATGGATTCATGCCAAGTATTGTCGCCTCTTACTGTGCTATCTCCACTGAAGGAGTAGAGGAGACGGAATACCTGTCTTTGCTTTTCAGCAAGGCTTTCCCCTTCCAGATGAAGACTGCCAAGACTCCTCAAAGCTTCGATGAGTCTTTGGTCGAACTGTCTGCGCTTATGGCTGCCATTGCCAAGATCCCGTCTCCCAAGCTTCCCAACTTGAAAGAATTGGAGCTTGCACTGTTTGTTGCTCAGACCCTTGAGGCCCACAACTCCATCCTTGACTGTGAGGCTTATCCCGAGACCTGGTTCAGTATTCATGTGTACAACCACCGCGCGACTATCAAAAGTCTTGAAATTATTGCAGTGTTGCTAATTGATAAACTCCTACCGGCACCGGATGATGCAGACACATTCGATACCAAGCTGTGGGAGTCATTCTTCACAACTCTGTTGAAGGTGATTTCTAGCGATGTCCTTGCGCTCGAGACATTCCCTGAGCAGAAGCGCCGTGCTGTCTGGAAGATCGCCGGCGATGTTCGTGAGCAAGGTGCGGACTTGTTGCAGTCTACGTGGGAAGCCATTGGTTGGGAGACCACGGATGACGAGAGAGGGCGCTTCAATTTGAAGAAGCTGGGCGGTTATCAAGTACAATATGTTCCCGGTCTGGTTCCTCCCATCATTGGTCTGTGTCTGAGTGTCCACGAGGGACTGCGACATGTTGCTGTACAGATACTGCAAACAATGATTCTGAGTGAGTGGGATCTGAACCAGGATATCTCCATTATTGAAACGGAGATCATCTCTAGCCTGGATGCCCTATTCAAGTCCAAGCAGATGAATGAGAGCGTTAGCCAGAAGATTTTCATCGGTGAGCTGTTGGATCTGTTCGAGACTGAGACTATATCCGATGATCTATTGTCGAACGCTGTCAAGAGTCTTGTCGGGACAGTCGATGAACTCTTGGATCTTTTGGTGGCCTCTCAGAGCGGCGCCTTAACGCAGAGTCTGCACGCTCTGAAACTGATGGAATATATGAAGGACATGGGTCGCGAGGATATCTTTATTCGTTATGTTCATGAACTTGCCGAGGCTCAGGCCGCAGCAGGCAATTTCACTGAAGCAGGTCTTGCCCTTCAGTTCCATGCCGACCTCTACGAATGGGATCTCACCAAGCCTCTGCCGGAGCTGCTCAGACCTGCATTCCCACCTCAAAGTGCATTCGAACGGAGAGAAGCTTTATACTTCTCCGTTATCCAGAACTTTGAAAATGCCATGGCCTGGGGCCCCGCGTTGGCTTGCTACAAGGAGCTGGCAGCGCACTACGAGCACACGACAATGGATTTCGCCAAGCTCTCCCGAGCCCAAAGCTCCATGGCTCGAATTTACGACTTCGTCGCCAAGGGCGGCAAACAATTCCCGCGTTACTTCCGTGTGGCGTACAAGGGTCTCGGATTTCCTCCCGGGCTACGCGACAAGGAGTTCATCTTCGAGGCATCCCCGACAGAACGCATGGCCTCTTTCGTGGATCGCATGCAGCGGGAACACCCTACTGCGCAGGTCATGTCTACTGGTGAAATTCCTGACTACGAGGGCCAGTTCCTTCAGATCAGCGCTGTCAGCGCATACCGCGATGTGTTTCATCCTGTCTACCAGCGCCCCAAGGTTCCGTCCTCTGTCCGCGAGCACTTGCTGATTTCGGATCCATCTCGTTTCTCTGCCACCTCGCGCCGACACACGAGCAGCTCGGACGTCCGTGAGCAATTCGTTGAAAAGCTCGTTTTCACTGTCTCGGAAGCGTTCCCGAATATCCTCCGTCGTAGTGAGATAGTTTCTGCTCAGGAGGTTGCTTTGTCGCCTCTGCAGACTGCCATTGAGCGCACGTGGCGCAAGACACAGGAGCTTCAGCTTATTGGCCGCCGTGCTGCGTCCGGTGAGGATTCTAATCTATCTAATCTGACTGAAGCTTTGGAATCACTGCTTGAGGTCAGATCGTCAACCTCTAACTGTGTGGCATTGTACCGTGTATTCCTATCCGATGCGGAGATGGCAAGGAACAAGCTGCTTGAGGAAATTGATGAAGATGCTGAAGAAGTACAAAAGACACAGCAGCCTGTGGACCCAATGGAGACTGCGCTCTCCGTTGCACTCGTCGACCATGCCTTGGCTATCAAATACTCACTGTCTCTTTACCAGCGTCCCGCTCAGCAAGCTACCCAAGCCGAACTGCTTCGGCGATTTGAAGATGTCTTCGAACCCGAGCTGGGTTCTCTCGCCCCAGCTCCGGAGTATTCATCATCTACACCCACCCAAACAGCCCGCCAATCACCCTCCTCGAGCGACAACCGCCGAATGCCGCCCATCCAGCGAATTGTCAGTCCGGAACAAGATCAAAACCGCGCAGCCCGAAGCAATGCCCACACGCGCAAGCGCTCCGACAGACAATCTGTCAGTCACCGGATCAGCATAATCAACCCCTTCAAACGATCCCACGGCGCCACCAATTCCATCTTCACAATCCAGCAATCCGACAGCAAGGGCCAAATAGTAGGTGAACAAGACGAAAACATCGACGATGACACGGCCACGATCCACAGCCGCACAACCAGCCACTCCCGCAGCGGCCGAAGCGAGAAGCGTCGCAGCTTCTTCGGCGGCGATAAGACATACAAGCACGGCTCCTCGCCGTCCGTCGCCCATGAATCCCAGACCTCACTGAACGCCCACAATGCCTCCCGAGACACGGCCACACGCTCCACCGACGGTCGCAGTCGCGCTGGCTCTCAGCACCGCGGCCCTACTGCCAGCGGTGCTGCCACGGATCGGGCTGCGCCCGCTTCCAGTGGTGGGTGGTCGACCCTCCCGTCCACGCGCGATTATTCGCGACCTGTCACACGCGACAGTAATGCGATGACCCTCACGACTACAAATGGCACAGCCCCTTTGTCCCCTGTGCTCAATAATAATAATACCGGGATGCGGGACTCTGTGCTCCGTCGTTTCAGTATGCTCAAGGGTGTTGGTCGCAAGAGCAGTCGGATGGATTTTAAAGCTAATGGTGCCCTTCCGGAGGAATAATGAAACCCCTTTCTTTTCTTTTTCTTTTTCTTTTTCTTTCCTTTTTTTTTCTATCCTTTATACCTCTTTTTTGTTTTTGTTTCTGTGTCTTGACCCTCCTTTTTTAACTTTTTTTCTTTCACTTCTTGATGTGACTTACTACCCTGATGTATTCTTTGCCTTAACTTTTTTTTTTGTTATGTGGACTGGGGTTCTCCTTTTACTGGTGTTAAAATATATATACCATGTGCTATATAGTTCCAATCTACATAATGCTATTTCCCATCTTAAGATCAACAGTGCTTCCAAGCTTCTTATATATACTAAAGTCTAAGTCGTCAGCATCCATGGATCTCCAAAACACAATTGTCCGTGCATCCAATCGTGGAATGTGGCAGTGCATGGTCTTGGCTTTAAGCTATAACCAATAAGAGTGACTAAAAAAAACCTGGCATGTGGAGTTCCAAGGCTGGTGGGTCGTAATCTCAAAGCTCGTCTCCCTCCCCACTGACTGGGCCACACTGGGCCACACTTACCTTGGCCACCACCTAACGCTCCACTTTTCTCCTCATGCTCCTAACATCAAGGCTGTGCTAACCTTGATTCCCACGGAAATCTCATGTTACAGTCGCTAAGAACGAAAAAAGTGGCTCGAACCCCGCCAATTATTTGTTCCTCAACCTCTTTGAAAGCTTGGTAGAAATCATGTGTGCGTTGATATACTCTCCTCCCCTTCCCCATCCCCTTCTCCCATTCTTCCCATCCGCTCCTTTCCGACTTTCTGTGAAAGTCCATCAAATTATAATCCATCCGTTCAGGCAACGGACCATAATTCATCAAACTAACTCCAGAGAAAAAAATTTATATTCCAGCTCTCCCAAACTTCCGCTCCCACTTCAGAAGCCACACCTTCGGGCCCAGAAGAATGAACTCTGGCAACAACGGCTCCCTGAACGCCAATGAGCGTACAGGATTACTTGGCGCACACCGTGGCTCCTTCTCTGGCCTCGAACCTCACGAGCACATTGAGCATGGACAGCACCACCACCACCCAAAGGATACCCGTGTGTGGGTGCACTGGCCGATGCACGTCGTTCATCTGACGTGGAGAACCATCGTCCGTGACTACGTCAATGTCCTGCTCATCTTCGTGCCATTGGGCATCATTTCCGGTGCCCTCGAATGGAACCCAACCACTGTCTTTATCCTCAATTTCTTTGCTATTGTTCCCCTCGCTTCGCTGCTTAGCTTTGCTACCGAGGAGCTGGCTGCTACGCTCGGCCAAGCCCTTGGTGGCTTGATGAATGCCACTTTTGGAAATGCTGTTGAGTTGATCGTAAGCTTACCCAACCCTCCCCGAATTGACGCCCTCAAAGCTAGCGGTTGATATGTTGGATATTACGCTAATTTTCTTTGTTCCTTGATAGGTCAGTATCATTGCCCTAAGACAGAACCAGATACGCGTCGTCCAGGCCAGCATGCTGGGCAGCATCTTATCTAACATCCTGCTCGTCCTGGGCTGTTGCTTCTTCGTCGGTGGTCTCCGCTACCGCGAACAGTCTTTCAATACCACTGTGGCATCAACCATGTCCTCGCTTATGGCTGTGGCCTCCGCGTCGCTTATCATCCCTGCCACACTCTACGCCGCGATCTCGGATAACTCCGTCGCCAAGCCGGACGGCACAGGTGAAATCACGGACCCGGACCGCGCTGCGCAGAAGAACATCCTCATCTTGTCACACGGCACCTCCATCATCCTCCTAATTATCTACGTCATGTACCTCTACTTCCAGCTGGGTTCCCACTCCGACCTCTTCGAGGAGACGAATGGCAGTGATACCGAGAATGTTGCTGGCACCGAGGAGGAGGAAGAGGAGGAAGAGGAGCGTATTCTCAGCCCCTGGGCTGCGGCCGTTGTTCTCGTCATCGTGACTATCCTCGTCTCGATCTGCGCCGATTACCTGGTCGATGCTATCGACCCCCTTGTAAAGACGACAGGTATGAGCAAGACGTTCATTGGACTAGTTCTGATCCCGATTGTGGGCAATGCCGCGGAACATGTTACTGCTGTTGTGGTTGCGTACAAGGATAAGATGGATCTTGCGATCGGAGTTGCTATTGGTAGCAGCTTGCAGATTGCGCTGTTTGTCACTCCCTTCTTGGTTATTCTCGGCTGGATCATGGGTATCGAGATGACACTCCACTTCCAGACTTTCGAGACCGTTGCGTTCTTCATTTCTGGGTTGGTTGTTACTCTGCTTATTCAAGATGGAAAGTCCAATTACCTGGAGGGTGGTATGTGTCTCGGCATGTATGTCATACTTGCCTTGGCGTTCTACGTCTACCCTGATACTATTACCAATTAAGCTATGGCTTGGGTTTGCGGTTTTATTTTCGGCTTGGGGAGGTTGTCGTCTCTGATGCTGTCTCTTTTGTTCATTTGAATCATCCATGCCCTAGCGTCTACCGCTTTTTCTTGTATTCTATGTCAAAATTCTTGTCTATAGTACATTGGTAGTCAAAAATTGCAAGTGCGGGTATATCTCTATAGGTATCTGTGAAAATTAGCTATAAAAAAAGTATTGTTAAAAAGCGAATTACTTGATGGAGTTATATTGACATCTTGTATATCTTGGAAATATATCTATGCTTAAAACAACTTAGAATCAACAGAAAACATATTCTTTTCACACATAGCCTTGAGCAGACAAATTGAAGCTTATGTTACCCCTTTCTTTCATCGTAATTTAAACTAATTATCCACTTATATCCATGGCCTTTCAATCCTGTTTCCATCAGTTGTACATTTCATGACCTCACATCGAAATTCTTGGCGCTGACTAAACCATACCGGAAATTTGCTCGAGACCGCAAACTTTCCAAAGTAGGCCGATTAATCACGACCCTGGTTCAATAATTGTACAGGGGCCAATTCACACAACCGCAAAAATGGCACCTCGACTCAACCTCTTCACAGCCAACAAGGCCGTCTCGGCCCTGCGCCAATCCACCACTCCCGCACTCTCCTCCCCCCGGAGCGTCGCCATCCCTCTCCGATTCCGCGCCGTCCAGTCACTACCCATTCAGCGTCGATGGAACTCTTCGCGCGATGGCTCGAAGAAGGTCGAGCCCCAGCCTGACCAGCAGACTTTCCCAACTGCTGATCAGCTGCCCGATGTTAGCGAGGAGGCCAACGAGATCTCCCGAATTATGGATAAGGAAAAGCGCTGTGATGGTATTCCTTCTACTCCGGAGTTGGATCAGGGGTCGCCTGTCGAGGAGGTGAGCAAGAATTCATAATACAATGGCTTGTTGGAAAGCCGAATGCGAAATCGCTGGATATGGTTGTTAACTGTGTTTCGTGGAATAGATCCTCAGCCGCGACGAGGACGCAATGAAGCACATGCCCAAAGTTATGCGCGACGCATTGAAGAAGTCTAGTGGCTCGCGCTCGTTCTCGACTTCCGCTCGAAGCCTTATGAACGATCTGCAGGGCGTTGAGCCTAACAATGAGGCTAACCTTATTCCTAATGTGCCTGGACTTGAGGGTGCTAGTGATGAGGCTGCTGCTGCTCTTGCTAGCATGATTGAGCAGGTGCAGGGCCAGGCGCTTGAGGAGAACCCTGGGCTTAAGTTCGATCCGCCTGCTGTTCCCGAGGACCTGAAGACGTTGAACTTCCGCAAGCGCTACGATACCATGCAGGACCAGTTCACTAAGATGATGATGGAGAGTGGGAAATTGACTAAGGCGCAGAAGGTACGGTTTTCTTCTCCCCGATTATGTCTGGTGTGGGTGTAGTTGAGAAAATTGACTAACTGAATATTAGAACATGTCTCTCATCCTGGACCACCTCCGCACCTCCTCTCCTCCCCAGATTAACCCTCGTCGCCGTCTTCTCGGAGCTCCCCCTGCATCCCAGCTCCCTCTCGACCCCGTCCTCTACCTCACTCTCGTTGTCGACTCCGTGGCGCCTCTCTTCCGAATCCGTCAGCAGAAGGGTATCGCCGGTGGCGGTACTGCCGTGCAGATCCCCCACCCGCTGACTCTACGCCAGCGCCGCCGTACCGCTATCAAGTGGATTCTTGATGCGTCTGATAAGCGACGTGATGCGCTGTTTGCGAACCGTGTTGCGGCTGAGGTAGTGGCCGTTGCTGAGGGTCGTAGCGGTGTCTGGGATAAGAGGGACCAGCAGCACAAGATTGGTATTTCTGGTCGTGCGAACTTGAACACTAACGTTCGTCGCTAAATTTGCCTTTTATCGGCTTGTATTTCTTCTATCTGGGTTTTGGGGTTTGTCTTGTATCTCTGAGCACTTCTGCATATGTACATTTATATAGTCTGGTCAAAAAAAATTGACTTTTATTCTTCATGGACTTATTGTATTCTCCGAGACAAGTACTACACAGTGGTCATCCTTCGAATTTGACATATGCCACGGAGTTTTAATGTGGCTTATGATCTCTCGATATCATTGCCCTATATAGGTATGGCTTACTCCCTAGTGTTACATGTTCTATTATTGGAGGACCACCTGCCCTGAATCAAACTTACTTGCACACCTTGCATATTAATTGCTTCTATACATTAACCCTATCTTGTTCTCTGTGACAGCTCTCCCAGTGTTTTGTATAGACCGTTGTCTGATAGGCCCCCGCCAAGCAGCACGCTTACCTAATATACAGCTTAGCTCGAAGCGCAACTTGTTCTTGGAGTCGGAGAAAGAAAATAAAAACGCCAATACATTCAATATTTTACATGCCTACAGTCTCGGAGTTGATTCCAACCGAATACACGATACACTTCCGATCAGTGGAGTGCCCCGTGCTATCATTGCGGACTTGACCATCACCCAGTGCAACCCCAAGCTACAGCTGACCGGCCTTCTCGACCCTCTTCGCGCCCCCACCCACGATAGAGCCCCCTCCTACATTCCCCTCGCTCTTGCGCCTCTCTCTACCCTTTGGATGACCTAGGCCGACTACCCTCCGGCCCCCTCCTTCGACGGTGGCTCCTACCTCGCACACCGATTCCATTGAACTTGTCGAGTACAACCCTACCTCCCACCCAGCTCCCACAAGCGCATCTGGCCCCGCTCGCTCAGACCGATATCAAGAAAGTGCTGGGCGGTTAGACCCTTCCGCCAACTCGCAGCCGCTTGCGGATCTTGATACAGTTGGGGAATCGCAGGAGAAGACATTAGAGTTTGACCGGCCTCAGGGCTCTCGTCTTCGGTTCTGGGCTGAGGCTCTCCGACGTCGCGCTCATTACGCATCGCACGGGAGCGTCGATCCTGATTCCAAAGCCAAGATGAAGTTCTCGCATAGTGTTCAGTTTAACGCGGTGCCCGATTGGAGCTCGAATTACATCGCGTACAGCAATTTGAAGAAATTGTAAGTTGTTGGCTTAACTTAGTTCGTGGGCTCGGTGGATGTGATTGTGTATACATGCAGATTCGGGGATCTGGATTGGTGTCACATTGCACAGGATCGATGCGTCTGGTCGGATAATTGCCTTAAATAGGTGCTGACGTTGCATTGTGACCAGGATCTATACCCTTGAGAAACAGTTCAATCGCATTGAGGGACCGGCCACCACAGATGTAGAGTCCGCTCCGCTTCTGGGTGCTGAACCGAGTAACCCGGATGCAGTCTTTAAACGGGCTCTTGATGTTGAGATGGATAAGATCTGTTCCTTCTATCGGAAGAAGGAGGCGGAGATTTTTGAACTCGCGGATGAGCTCATTAAAGACGCCGATGTATATCTTTCCGAAACGGACGGTGTCAACATGGATCCCGTCAGCGAGACAATCATCAAGGCAAGCTCCCGCCGCAACGGCAATACCTCGATTTCGCGTCGGCGGTCTAGTGCTGTGAGCAATGACTCGCTGGCAGACGACGAAGGAGAAGGTGGTGATAGCGACGATGACCGGTCCCCGACGACCCTCCCACAGCGTCGGAGATTACTGCGGTCTATCGATGGCGAGTCTGGTACTGACGACCAGTACGGTGATATGGTAGACTCTTCCTACTTTGGACAGTCGACTACCCGAGAACCGCACGACTCGCACTTCAACGACGAGGATTTCCTCGCTCTTTACAACACCGGTATATCGTTGAAGAAGCGCCTGATCGAATGCTACGTCTCGCTCTGCGAACTTCGCTCCTTCATCGAGCTGAACAAGACTGGTTTCTCCAAGGCACTGAAGAAGTATGACAAGACCCTGGACCGCAGTCTGCGTCGAGACTACCTAGCCTCTGTTGTCCACCCTGCGCCTCCTTTCACCGACAGCACCATGGCTGAAATCGATCGGCATATTGAGAATGTGGAGGGTGTGTATGCGGGCATCGTCACAAAGAACAACAGACAGTTTGCTAGACGCGAGCTCCGTTTGCATTTGCGTGAGCATGTCGTCTGGGAGCGAAACACCGTTTGGCGTGAGATGATCGAGATTGAACGTCGTGCGCAGGCCGCCAATGTTGGTATTCGCCGGACCCTTCTGGGTGGCGATGAGGACCCGGCCACTGCAAGGCGCCAGGGCGACAAGAATGAGATCCGCACCCAGGAGATGTCAACGCCGCTTGGTCGGTTCCAGTTCCCGTCGTGGCTCTGCAGCTTGAGCTTTGGTACGCTGGTATTTAGTATCGCTCTATTCGGCGCAATGCTTTCCGTGAACGTGATGGAGACTCCCGAGGAGCAGAATTGCTTGGCTATGTTGATTCTCGTCAGTATCTTGTGGGCCACTGAGGTATGAGATACTGTTTGTTTATTTCGCTCACATTGAATGCTAACATCGAGTAATAGGCTATTCCGCTGTTTGTCACTTCGCTTCTTATCCCATTCCTAGTCGTGACTCTAGGTATCATGCGGTCAGACGATGAAATTCCCGTGCGGTTGGGACCCAAGGAATCAGTCGGTAAGGTGTTCGCAGCGATGTGGACTCCTGTGATTATGCTGCTCCTAGGTGGCTTCTCAATCGCAGCGGCACTGTCCAAGTACGATATCGCACGACGCATGGCCATGTTCGTGCTAAGCAAAGCCGGGTCAAAGCCATCTGTGATGTTGCTGACCAACATGTTTGTAAGTATGTTCCTGAGCATGTGGATCAGTAATGTTGCATCTCCCGTGCTCTGCTTCTCGATCATCCAGCCTTTGCTGCGCAACATGCCTCCCGAGTCAGACTTTGCCAAGGCACTCGTGTTGGGTATCGCATTAGCCGCCAATGTCGGCGGTGCAGCGTCCCCAATTGCGTCGCCCCAGAACATCATTGCCCTGCAGAACATGGAACCGAACATCAGCTGGGGTACATGGTTCTTCATCGCACTGCCCGTCTGCATCATCTCCATTCTCCTCATCTGGGTTCTGCTGCTGGTGACATTCCGTCCGGGCCGTAACGCAACTGTCATACCTATCCGCCCTGTCAAGGACCGCTGGACCGGCATCCAGTCCTTCATCAGCATCGTCACCCTCCTGACGATCATCCTCTGGTGCGCTAGTCACCAACTCGAACACATCTTCGGCGACATGGGCGTTATCGCTATCATCCCTCTCGTCCTCTTTTTCGGAACCGGTATCCTCAACAAAGAAGACTTCAACAACTTTCTCTGGACAATCATCATCCTCGCCGCCGGTGGACTGTGTCTCGGCAAGGCTGTCACCTCATCCGGCTTGCTACACACAATCGCAATGGGAATCACCGCCCGCGTCGAGAACCTCAGTCTGTACAGCGTCCTCTTGGTCTTCTGTTCTCTCATCCTTGTCATGGCCACTTTCATTTCGCATACTGTCGCCGCCCTTATCATTCTCCCGCTTGTCCGCCAGATCGGCATTAGTATGGAGAACCCTCACCCCAACTTGTTGGTCATGGCTAGTGCATTGATGTGCTCTGTTGCGATGGGGTTGCCCACGAGTGGATTCCCTAATATGAGTATGTTCTTCTCTTCCTTCAGCTCACTTGTATTGAGCTCCTTGCTAACTCGTCCTTTTTAGCTGCTATCATGACCGAAGTACCCCAGACAGGCCAGCGATACCTCCAAGTGCGCCATTTCCTCACTCGTGGCGTCCCTGCCAGTCTCATGTCCTTTGTGGTAATTGTCACCCTTGGATATGGACTGATGTATGTTGCGGGGTTGTAGGGTTGATGGTGTGGTGGGATGGTCTCGTGACACTTTTGGAGAAGTTGGCTGTCTGCTGTTTTTTTTGTTAGATCGGTTTATATACTCGGCATAAACCAAGAGAAGAGAAGATATATGGCTTGGATATACTACCTATTCTTTTCTCCTTGTGTTAAGTGTTATTTGGATTCATTGTATTTAATTTTCTTCGCTTCGCTATGTCCGGTTTCTGTTGGGATTGGATTGCACAAATGATAATAGATCACTACATAGTAGATGGGTTGTCCAGAGTGTTTTAATGCACGTGTCTTTCTAATGGCTTCGATCGCGTATGAGTGGTTACACCTGTCCGACTTCCTTTTCCAAGCAATATGGACGCCTGAATGACATCTAAGAGGGTTCTGTGCAAGGTTTGGGGAATCCTCTTTCCCTGCCTTGATATTTACTAGTTACCTTTTTTCAATCTACGCATCGTATTGAAGACAATAATAACGCAAAAGCATAGTTCATTATCCCAATGCTCCAGACCCAGATACTTTATAAGACTGAAGGCTGAAGGTACCGTACACCACAAAGACACCACACTTTGAGGCCAGATCTAGGGAGATGACCTCGCTGAAGACAAGAAAGACCAAAGAAAAGGAGGTAGAGATGAGAAATGTAAAATAAAGTAATAAAAAAAAATCAACCCATGCATCGTGCATCACCGTAATATAGCCCATAAACAAGTCATTGAAGGTATCCGTAAACACACCCGATACACCCATACAACGGGTCCCAGGTGTTCATCGAGATGAGATAGGATAAGCAGATATAGAAGGGAGGTATATACTCTTTTCTATTTTCTGAGCGGCAAGATTAATTACTAGATCGTCAGTCAGTGAAATGCACTAACGGTAACATCGAGTCAAGTTACAGCGACGGGGAAGGTTAGGGTTAGATGTGACGGGACAAAGGGGGGATACTAACAGCAAACCAATCGTCAAATCACCATGAATCTTCGCCTTAAGCTGAACCTCAATATCCAGATTCAAGTCCAACCGCAAACGAAGCTGCTCGTCCCGACCACCATCCTCCTCCTCCTTTTTCTCTCCGCCACCGAGGATCCCGCCAACGGCCTTGCCCGCACTACCAGTCGCCCCGTTCAGGGCATTACCAGCTGTGTTCTGCACGAGTTGGCCGGCCTGGTCGACGCCACCAACGCCCGGAAGTCCGCCGAGCGGACTGCCGTTTTGTTGCTGTTGCTGTGGCTGGCGCTGGCGACGGACACGACGCTGGGGTCTGGGCTCTGGTTCCATTTCGCTGCGGGCGATGGACTCGGTATCTGATTCTTGGGGGCGGGGACGAGGTCTGCGACGACGACGTTCGGGCTTGGGTTGGGGTTGGGGTTCTGGTTCTGGGTCTGCTTCGTCTTCTTGTTCTGGCTCAGGCTCAGGCTCTGAGTCTGGTTCTTGTTGTTTGGCGGGTTCTTCGGGCTTGGGGTCGTCTTCTTTGGGTTGTTTGTCCTGGTCCTGGCCCTGTTCCGAAGATGGAGGGGTTTGTTCTTGCTTGGCGGGAGATTTCTTGCCTAGCTTAGGAGGGGCACGTTTTGGTTTGTTTGGAGTTGTGTTTGTTGAATCGGGATTAGGGGTGGGAGGTTGTTCTTGATCGGACATGTTGGAAATAAAAGAAGGAGGTTGTTAAGGAGGGAAATGAGGGGAATATGAATTGATTCGAGAATGAGATATAGAAGGACAATGCGTCAGAAACGGGATAAATGAAGTACTATGTAATCGTGCGTATAGTGTAATGATGTAGATTGCCCAACCGTTTATATCATCGGAGGAGCCACTCGGCTTGGATAAAACCGGGCCTCGTAAATAGAATCTAACCGCCTCCGACGTCAGTTTGGAATTTGTTGGAGACCTCTACTGTAGTTCAGAAGTCAGTGGGTACTGCATAGATGATGGGGAGGGGGAATACTGAAACAGAAGTTATGACGTCCGGGACAAGGATCAAGGCGTGGAGTATGGAGCAACCTTGTATAACATCAGGTTCACGCGCCAATCAGATGAGATGTCGGTGAATTTAGTGCATTGACGTTCTCCACTGAAATCGAAATAGATTAAGTAGACGTAAGTAGACGTAAGTACTATCGGAAATGATATGACGCCATTCGACGTCAAGGTCTTCATAGTAATAAAAAAATAAGTCGGCCAATGATCCATCCCACAGATGAAAGGGACTTTTTTTCTTGTTCCTGAGGTTGTTCTATTGGTTCAGGCCAGTCTGCCCGTTGTTTCCACGGATTGGGATGGGGCCCGATATGTAATTGGCGGGTTTCCTGACATTCACCGTGGAGTATTCTCTGTGGACACGGCCATTGTGACAAGTCTAGGGAGATGTCTGATGACGGTTGTGGAGGGAAGGAGAGCAACAGCCTTCAACGTCATGCCCCATCCTTGATATGATGTCGGTGCCATTTCCCCTTCCATCATATCATATTGTCCCTTTCTTTCCTTTTTGGTTTATGTTTAGGATATCCTTCTACTTTTTATACACTTTTTTTTTTATAACTTTTTTGAAATATATCTTCCCACCTCTATACTCTATACTCTATAATCTAGTCTCATATCATCCATCTCATCCATCTCATCCATCATGGCGACCGTTGAAAAGACCAAACAACAGCCCAAGAAGCTTCCCGTCCAAGAGGACCTCTCCGACGGTGAAGACTATGACAGCGCCGACGACTACACCGACGAGGAATATGAGGAGGAAGTACCACAAACCAAGACCCAGAAGGGAAAACAACTGCAGAAGAAACCCCTACAGAAACAGAAACAACCCGTTCAACAATACGATGATGACGAATACACGGACGGATCGGAATATGGCTCAGACGAGTACGAATACTCCGACGACGATGAAGCCGTACAGCCCTACTCAAATGAAAATTCAGACTTCAAGCCCAACGGAGGCATGGACGTCCTCCACAAGGAGGAGAAATCAATGCTGGACGAGGAAGGCATGAAGTTGAGATTGGAACTGAATCTGGAAATCGAGGTCGAGCTCAAGGCACGCATCCACGGTGACCTCACCCTAGCTCTCATGTAAGTAATAACCGAGGCATGCAATCCCTCCCCCAAGACCCCTTGAAGAATGTCTGCTCAAAGACCGAACTAGGAGTTGATCGCGTTTTATCAACAACAGGGCTTGATCACCCAATTACCCATTCTGGTTCCATTGCCAATATCACGAAGATCCGACGTCGTCACGAGTGATCCTTTTTTTTTTTTTTTTTCAATGCTTCAATGCTTCAATTGTTTCAATGCTTGTCATAGAGCCATGCTTTTTTTTGGGGATTTAATATCTTTCCATTTGTTTGGCATCCTTTTCTTTTTCTGCAATGGTTTTCCTGGTCGGCGCGTAGGGCCAATGGATGCAATACCCCGGAGTGTATACTGCTATGTATATTCCTTGGGCAATCACTTGAATGGAGTTGGATTCAAAAAATTTTTTTTTTTTTGCTGCAGTAGCAGCAGTACAGCAGTGCAGAAATGGAATAGTGTAGTAGTGTGGTGTGATGAACGTCAAGTGTCATGGCGGAAACTGTGAAGCCGAGGCCGGGGTCTTGGCGCAGATTTTCGACTGACCCGCTGTGTTACTCCCCTCTTACATTGTACTCGGTGTTATTCTGTACTCGGTCCATTTTCCAATTTTCAATTGTCTCACTTGTTTCTCATAATCCAATTGACACTGTACACCTCTCTCCCACCCAATACAACCGCCACCATGTCGTCCAAAGACTTCATCATCAAGCACATGAACGCCGACCACCAAAACTCTCTCGGACTATTCCTACAAGCTTACTGCGGTATCACATCCACCCAAGCCAAGAACGCCCAATTAGAAGAACTCAGCACCTCAAATTTGATCATCACCGCTCACGGTACCCGCTACATCGTCCCTATTGAACCCCCAATGAAGAACTACTCCGAGGCACGCAGCCGAATGGTCGCCATGCATAAGGAGAGTCTAAAGCGTCTGGGTCGCAGCGAAATCACACTTACAGAGTACCGTGCCCCGCGCGGCATCCAGGCCGTGATCTTTGTGCTGTGTTTGTTGTTCTACGTCACCTGCTTCCAGCGCAGCAACCTGCAACCCGGTGCCGATCTTTACGAGTACTTGGGACTCCAGCGTGTGCCCTGGTTCCCGCGTCTCGTCTGCATTACCCAGCCGTTCGTCGTGGCTATTCATATTATTGAGACCATCGCGCTGGTTGTGACTCAATTGAAGCCGTTGAATGTACCTGTTATGTCGGGTTTGTGGTGGAAGTGGGTTGCGTCGTGTTCCGTTGAGGGATACGGTTCATTCTCGCGCATTAAGCAGTTCGTGAAGGAGCAGGAGGCGAAGAACGGCAAGAGCCAGTAGAGGGTAGTGACATGGGCAGTCAGCATGGGTAGTCAATGGTGACACCTGCAATTACTGGCGGAGAAAGTCGATCATTTGTATTTGTATGGATTTCGGGATTTCCAGGATAACTAGAAATTGACACAATTAAATTTTCAATGCTGTACAACGTGAGGATGTAAATGGCTTGAAAATGGTCAGATCGTGGTCGATGGCCCCTTCCAGATCATGAATTACTATTTGTAACACGTGACTATGTGCTGAGTCAGGCGCCAAACATCACCTGACCGATCCAGTGACCGATCCAGTGACTGGGGCCACTAATCCAAATCTGGTCTAGTGTCGGTTAGGGCACTACACAAGCGAGCGACACAGTGCGCCCTGCGAAATTCAGCGACTCCACGACCTCAAACTCCCACGACAACCCTACGACAACTAATCTGTGTTTCTGGTGAAGGGCTGCACATTTAGAGGTGAGTTATCCGGCTATCTCAACTCCTACAAGGTTTCTTTCGAAAAATTCTGTTTCGCTCGCTGCGCCCATCAATTTCGATCATCGGTATTCAATTCCTCTACATTCAACTTTCGATCCTGTCTCGCCTTCAACGGTCATTCAACCACTCCGCAACCACCGTCGCCCAACTGTTCGATATTCGAAGATTGATTTTGTACGGCGCTCGCGACGAAACAGAAGGATTGAAAGGGAAAAAAAAAGAAGAGAAAAACTTGTTAAAGGTCCACAAATCAACAACATCTAACTTGTGTCCGTCGACTTAGACCCCTCCATCAATCGCAAACATGGGTATTTCTCGGGATTCTCGCCACAAGCGCAGCGCCACCGGTGCCAAGCGCGCTCACTACCGCAAGAAGAGGTACGATTCTATCAACCCAGCATGAGGTCGAACATTTTTCTTTCTTGGAGGGAGAAAAAAATGGATTCGATATACCAGTTGCAGATTCTTACATGTCTTCGTTCTACAGAGCGTTCGAGAAGGGTCGTCAGCCCGCCAACACCCGTATTGGCACCAAGCGCATCCACCTTGTCCGCACCCGTGGTGGTAACCAGAAGTTCCGTGGTCTCCGTCTCGAGTCCGGTAACTTCTCGTGGGGCTCCGAGGGTATCTCCCGCAAGACCCGTGTCATTGGAGTGTCCTTCCACCCCTCCAACAACGAGCTGGTCCGCACAAACACCCTGACCAAGTCGGCCGTTGTCCAGATTGACGCTGCCCCCTTCCGTCAGTGGTACGAGGCCCACTACGGCCAGCCCATCGGCCGTAGACGCCAGCAGAAGACTGAGGCTACCGAGGAGAAGAAGTCCGCCTCCGTCGCCAAGAAGCAGGCCGCCCGCTTCGCCGACTCCGGTAAGACTGAGTCTGCCATCGAGCGCCAGTTCGAGTCCGGTCGTCTTTTCGCCGTTGTTGCCTCGCGCCCCGGCCAGTCCGGCCGCTGTGACGGTTACATTCTGGAGGGTGAGGAGCTTGCTTTCTACCAGAAGGCTATCCGCAAGTAAACGAAAAAATAAAATATTCGGTTGTTGCAACGGGTGGATCGGAGTTTCAGCTATGTCATGATCAGAGCATCCACAGGATGCAATTTGTCTGTAGAGCTCTGAGCCGTCAAATCCATGGGAATTGTTCCTAGTTTCATCTCTTCTTTGATAGTTGGCATTCCTTGCGTAGTGAGCTTGTGTAGTGAGGATACAAGTGTCGAGTATCGTGACACTTGGGAATAGTACATTGTCGACAAGCTGCGGCACGATATACTTGGACTTGGGTACAGATGATTAACATACGAGTACTATGAACATAGTTTGATGTTTTAATTTATTCTTTTCTTACAAAATTCATCAATGCTCCTTGTGTCAAGTGTAGATCCTTGAAACATAGAAGGAACACTCTCCGGGGGTACTCCCCGGGCCCGAGCTCGATCCTTATCCATCTCACCCCCGCAGCCCAATCTTCCCTCAAACAACCAACATGACGACCATCAAAACCCGCATCTGCATGATATCAGACACACATACAGCCCCTCCATACCCACCCCAAAGTACAGACAATGCCTACCGCTACCCCCTCCCAAAAGCAAACATTCTCCTCCACGCCGGCGACCTCACAAAAGTGGGGTACCGCGTCGAGCACGAAGCAATGATCGCCATGCTCGCCGACGCCGACGCCGAGCTCAAACTTGTAATAGCAGGGAACCACGACATAACCCTAGACGAAGAATACTTCACAACCGTCGGCTACAAACGCCACAAGCGCCCAGAGAAACTAGGCGAAGAATCCATCCTGCTCTCGGACGATAACCTCCAAACAACCCTACGCACCTCTTCAACCGAGAACCCAAACACAGACTCTCTAAAAGCATACGTTCGCTCCATAAAATCACTCTGGACGAGCGATGCCGCCCGCAATGCAGGGATCATCTACCTAGAAGAAGGAATCCATTCCTTCACACTCTCAACAGGTGCAACATTCACTCTCTATGCATCTCCATACCAACCGGAATTCTACAACTGGGCATTCCCATACCCCCGTGATCAAGACAGATACAACCCCGCCCCCGCTGCACACCCACAACCTCAAAATCCAATCCCGGATTACCCGGCCATCGACATCCTACTAACCCACGGCCCGCCCGCCGGAGTCCTGGATCAGGTCCCGCCTGATTTGAACGTTGGATGTGAACATCTCCTTCGTGCGACGCGGCGCGCAAAGCCGCGACTACATCTCTTCGGTCATATTCATGAAGGGTGGGGTGCGCAGCGTGGGGTGTGGGATGATGAGGTCGGTAGGGGTGGTGTTAGACTTGAAGATGTGCCGACGGATGCGGAGGAGATGCTAGAGAATCGAGGCGCGTTTTATGATGTTAGTGCTGGGGCCGAGCGGCCGCTGCGGGTTGGGGAGGAGACGCTTTTTGTTAATGGGAGTATTATGACGGTTAATTATCAGGCGAGGAATGCGCCGTGGGTGGTGGATATGGAGCTTCCTGTTTCCGGGGGATAGATGTTGGTGGTTTATTGTTCGGTGACTATGGATAAATTACTGGACTATAATAGGAAGTTGGTATTGATGCTTGGGGAATAAGGGGGGCGGGTAGAGAGACTGGGTTGTATCCAGATATATATTTACCAGGGGTTAGGATGAAGATATATACACACAAAAAGAAGTATCGATTGGGAATTATTTCTACAATCAAGGATAGTCGGCCCAAGGTATAGGAGCCAGTAAATACCTATCTGACATTGTCATTTCGTTCTATATACACGCAGTACAGCACAAGAAATAGCTACGAAGAAAACCCTCTGAACCAACACAGTACCACCCGAGAAACAGGTCAGAAACAGAACAAGAAGCAAATCAAAATCAAATCACAAGGCCAAAATAAATAAACGTATGCAAACTAACTCGCAACTCCATAACTCTAAGAAGTAAGACCCCTCTAAGAAGCACCACCGAGACCTATGATATTTGTTAGCTTTTGCAAAGACATCATATTCTAGACGCAGGAGACTCACCAGCAGCAAACGCCAGGTACCAAGTACGCGAAGCACCACCATCAATCCAGCTGTAGTCGAAGTCCGGCTGTGTGAAGAATTCCCACGACGATTTGGGATCGACGAGGGCCAGGTTGGCGTATAGCACACCCCTCCATCCGCCCTCGACCTTGGAAGCCGGGGTAGAGGCATTTTCAGCGAACATGGCCTGCCATTCCTGGTGCACGAATTCCTTTCGGCGTGTGAAGGGGCTGTGTGGCATCAGTGGTAGCATGTGGATACTGTGGTGTTTGTTAGCAATAGCTCATAGTTCAGAGTGAAACAATAGCGCGAACGGTTGTATAGTATACATACCCTTGGATGAATTCGAGGTTGGCGCCGAAGTAGGTAGTGTGATCGACCTTGTTCTCGAAGAGCTGTTTTGGATTTGTTAGTCTTGAGTTTGGTTAGACAGGGATGAAAATAGCGGCACTTACAATTCCAGTTACTTTGTTTGCAGTAAAGTTTGCCGGTTGGTTGACATTGTCATCCTCCATCAAGAAGTAGTTATTGAGCGACCGACCCAGGATGCCGAGCATGATATTGCCACGAGCTTCCATGCTAGCATCGCCGGTTGTCTGTCCCCACATTTTGATCGCATACGCGAACATGGTATCTTCCGAGGTCGATTCCTGATCCTTTCCATCGAAAGACTCGAACAAACCCTTCGCCCACGAGTGGCCGTTATACCAATCGAAAGAGCGCGAGAATGGGAAGTGCGGGTCATCTGCAACAGAGTTACCAGCATCACGAACGAGCATGTTGACCCACTCCTTGTTAGCGGCTAGCCAGCTGGGATCAAGAGAGCCGATGATAGCGGCTGTTTGGATGAAGTAGCCGTAGTGGAAGTGGTGGTCATTGTATGCGGTGTTTCCGAAATCCTGGTTCAGGTCGCCGTCGTAGCCGGCGGTCGAGACAACACCCTTCCAGACGGCGTCGTAGGCGAGCGGGTATTGCTGCTTGTTCTGTACGAATAGATCGAAGGATTTCTTGAGTTGTTGGAAGGCGTCTGTTGCTAGATCGACATTGTTACCAAGCTGGTTGACAGTGTACACGAGCGTTGCGAACTTGCTCAATGCCTTGCCGCTGTAGTACATGCTGTTGAGGCTTGTCTGCTCTGAGATGTTCTGTTTGAGCTCGTGGGGAGCAGCCTCGAGAATGGCGTGCTGGGCTGTGGCGGAGAGGTTGTGGGCACTGCCATGAGTGGTTGACCACGGGGCGAATCCGATATCGATGGGGAGATTTTGCTCGACCATAGTCCAGCTTTCTCCGATCACGGCGGTGGAGTTGCCCTTCGTTGTGGTACGGAGGTGAATATCGGTGATACGGCCCTGGGTGGCATTGTCGAAGGAGTGGACGTGATGGGGTAGAGCGAACATGATCAGAGGCGTACCCTTAACATCCTTTCCGGCCTTGGTCCAAGAGAGCGTGTAGCTGCCCACATCATCTGTTACAGAGCCAGATATCTCTCCTGCTACCGGGTAGA